ATCAATGTCCAACAGCACCTATCATGTTAAAATAAAAATTAAAAGTGAGAACTGTTTTACCATCCAATGAATGTATCAGACAAGCTTTTTGTTTACCCTGAATACAAAGAAAGGCTCAAGCTTTAAAGTTAGCAGAGGGGGGCAGGCATTTGGCCCAGCTTTTAACACTCCACTTGGGATACCTGCATCTCATATCAGAGTACCTGGGTTCAAGCCTCAGCTCCACTTCTGATTCCAACTTCCTGCTAATGCACACCTAATGAGGCAGCAGATGATGGCTCAAATACTTGGATCCTTGTCATCCATATGAAAGACCTGGATTGAGTTCCAGGCTCCTGGTTTCAGTCTAACATACCCCAGGCTACTGTGAGCATTTGGGGAATGAGCTAATGGATGGAAGATCTGTCTCTGGCTTTCAGATAAATAAACAATTTTAAAGAATTATCAGAAAATACCAAGAACAGGCAAAACCAGAGAGAAAACAGATTGGTGGTTGCTTAGAGCAAGGAGAGTTGGGGGAACTGGGTAGTAACCACTAATGGGTACAAGAGTTCTTTGTGAGATGACGGGAACTGTTCTCAAACTAATTGTGTTGATGGCTACACAACTCTGTGAATGTACGAAAATGTACTGAACTATAAGAAAAACCACTGTGCTGCAGCCGTATAAAAAATAAAATATCCTTCCCCCCAAAATATTAGAAAACCATTGAGCATTGTTCAAGTCAAAAGAAACAGGTGAGCAGCAAAGAGTTAGTAGTTTGCTAGATGTGATCACCATGGTAATAAAGTGAGGGAAAAAGTCCCAGGGAACACTTACTGTTCAGTCTTAATGTAAGAATCAATTTACTCTAGTAGGCTGCTTGATTTGCATGAAAGATTATGATACAAAACAGAAAGCCTTGTCTGTGGCAAGAAAAAAAAAAGCATGCATGGAATCTTGTAAGAGTATATACTTCATGAAATGTAGCCACAATAATATAAGGAAAAATCTAAATGCCCATTCCCAAGGAGCCATGGACCTTCTTATGTTCATCCCTGTTTTCCTACAAGTCAAAAGCTGCCTCTTATTTAAAGGCAAAACTCCTTGGGTTTATGTTGCTACTCCTTGGCTACTTTCCACAAATTTAACTACTTAATTCAATTTAGCTGCTAAACAAACCACTTAAAAAGCCCGGAATGTCTTCAACAGAATGCTTTCTACACAGACGAGCTATCCCATTCCAAGAGATGTGATCATCATGGGAAAGCAACACCAATAGGTTGCGGATGTCACAATGTCCCAACCAGAGGTAAAACTGGTTGAGTTATACTAACATAAAGTGCAACAGTTCAAGTCCCAGCTGCTTCTTTTCCAATCCAGCTCTCTGCTATGGCCTGGGAAAGCAGCAGAGGATGGCCCAAGTCCTTGGGCCCCTGCACCTGCATGGGAGACCTGGAGTAAGCTCCTGGCTCCTTGTTTTGGCCTGGCCCAGCCATCGCCATTGCAGCCATCTGGTGAGTGAACCAGCAGATGGAAGACATCTCTCTCTGCCTCTCTGTAACTGTCTTTCAAATAAATAAATAAATCTTTAAAAAAAAAAAAAGGAATCACAACATAGTCATATAAATATAAATATGACACATCAAGAAGTATCAAATCAAATTGTAGACATATAAAGTCACAGTTCATATCTGATTATTTCCACTAATGGAAGCCTGCAAAGGTATAGCTAAATCAAAAATGTGCAGAAAATGTTAAAAAGCAACTATAATCTTTGTAATGTTTTCATTACATACTTGTGTCTAAACATTTAGGTGAAAAGTAATACAAATTCACACAAGATAAGGAAATATGGTGGCTGAATAATCAACATTCTTTTCACTTTTCTTGCTGTACATAGACAGCACCAGTCGTGTTCATGCAGAGTCGTACCTGAGGACGAGCCCCATGCCCTCCCCATCACAGAGTGTCAGGCCTTCTCTATCAGGCTGGTAACCCTTTCAGGCAGGAACGCAGCCATGGCAACTGCTTAGTTTTCAAGAGATAGCTGGTTTCTCTAAGAAAGGTTTTATCGCATCTCCTTCCCAAGAACTGTATGTTTAAGTAAGGAATGCTTCAGTACAAAATCAGTGTATGTGAAACCAGACCTCTATCAGGAGAATGTACAGCCTGTGGCCTGCATAAGGCTCTCGAAATCATTTGGTCTGGTCCTGCCAAGGCAGCTGTAGGGGGGACTAAAAATTCAATAAATCTATAGCAGGCTGATTTTTAAATTGATCATTTTGTATGGCCTGCAAATTATGTTATAAATACCCAAAAAGCCCTTGGCAGAAACAAGGGCTGCCCACGCCTGTGGGGTGCCCATGAGGCAGACACTAGGTACTGGATACCAGCAGGCCCTGGTCTCCCACAGTCTCTCAGGCCCCCCTCCTTGGCTTCATTGATTACAGATCAACCTTTTAATAGAATTAATTCTCTAAATTGAGAGCATGGTGCCTTAGGTCTGGCTGTCCCCACAGAGTTCCAGACCATAAGATTCCTGAGGTCATTCAGTCTCCTCTGTAGATGACACCCTAACAGCAGGTCTTGTCTTGAAGGCTTATTCAGGAAGCAAAAGTAACTACCACCTGCACACAGCTCCCACACTGATTGGAGCCAACTTGGCCATCATCAAAATGCTCAAAGAGAACACAATTGCCATCCTATCTCTGACCAACCAAAGGGCCATGGGTACGCCTCAACCCCAGCTTCAACCTCTAGGACTCCTGACCCTTAACACCCCAAGGGGTCCAGGAATTCAGTGATAAGGGCCTGTACTCCTTGCTGTGCACTTTGAGAATAAATATCTACTTTCTTCCATCACCCAAGTTCAAGCAATTGGTTAGGTGGATGCTGAGTAAGTGGAGCCAGGTTTGGGGTTCTTCAATAAATACAGTGAAATAATTGTTCCTCTTTTTTTTTTTTTTTGACAGGGCAGAGTGGACAGTGAGAGAGAGAGACAGAGAGAAAGGTCTTCCTTTGCCGTTGGTTCACCCTCCAATGGCTGCCACGACCCACGCGCTGCGGCCGGCGCACCTCGCTGATCCGAAGGCAGGAGCCAGGTACTTATCCTGGTCTCCCATGGGGTGCAGGGCCCAAGCACTTGGGCCATCCTCCACTGCACTCCCTGGCCACAGCAGAGAGCTGGACTGGAAGAGGGGCAACCGGGACTAGAACCCGGTGTGCCGGTGCCGCAAGGGGGAAGATTAGCCTAGTGAGCCGCAGCACCGGCCCTAATTGTTCCTAACTCTTAGGAATGAAAGAACCATGCCACACCCCTGGAGTCTCACTATTTGCTGTTCCTGAGACAGCTGAGGGTTAACCCCAAGATTATTCTGTGAAAACAAAGCCATTCCTGGATCACAGGGGATTTTTTATTTTTATTTATTTATTAAGATTTATTTGAAAGGTAGAGTTACAGAGCGAGACAGAGAGAGGAGGGGAGAGACAGAAAGATCTTCTATCCCCAAATGGCTGCAATGGCCAGGGCTGAGCCAGGCTGGAACCAGGAGCCAAGAACTTCTTCCAGGTCTCCCACATGCGTGCAGGGGCCCAAGAACTTGGGCCATCTTCTGCTGCTTTCCCAAGTACATTACAGGGAGCTGAATTGGAAGCAGAGCAGCTGGGACCCAAACAGATGCCCATACGGGATACCAGCATGGCAGGCAGCAGCTTGACTGCTACACCACCACGTCGGCCCCTCACTGGGAGAATTATCATGTGCCAGGGATAACCAGTAAACCATCTTTATAGGATAAGGACCAAAAGACAACAGAAGAGAAAACAGAAGATGGAATTAGGCCCATGGAATTCAAAGCAAATTTTCATTTTTCATTAATAGAAGATAATAGGAAGATACTGAACCTGGGGACTAAAAATTGGTTCTACAGGTTAGCTGTTGACCTTGGGCTTAACCAATCTCACTGACAATTTTCTCACCTGAAAAGTAGAGACAGTGAGATCTACCAGCTTTTGTCATGGGTTTCAGAGCAATAAGAATCAAAGACAAAAATGCACTTCATCTCATTTTGTAAACTATACTATTCTTAGTAAGTGGAGATTTGGAGATTTTTTTAAGTATTAAGGATAAAAGCCAATTTAAGTTAAAATTATATACATATTTAAAGATTTGTTTTATTTATTTGAAATGGGTAATGACAGAGAGGGGGAATGACAGAACTTCATTCTGCTGATTTACTCCTCAAATGACCGCAATGACTGGGATGGCTCCAGGCCAAAGTTAGGAGCTAGGAACTCCATCCTGGTCTCCCACATGAGTGGCAGGGGCCCAGTTACTCAGGCCATCTTCTGCTGCTTTCCCAGGCACAATAGCAGGGAACTGGATCAGAAGTGGAGCAACTAGGACTCAAACCAGCACTCAAATAAACTTTTTGACTTGGATAGGTGTCTTTTTTGTTTTTTTTTGTTTTGTTTTGTTTTGTTGACAGGCAGAGTGGACAGTGAGAGAGAGACAGAGAGAAAGGTCTTCCTTTGCCATTGGTTCACCCTCCAATGGCCGCCACAGCCGGTGCACTGCGGCTGGCACACCTCGCTGATCTGATGCCAGGAGCCAGGTGCTTCTCCTGGTCTCCCATGGGGTGCAGGGCCAAGGACCTGGGCCATCCTCCACTGCACTCCCGGGCCACAGCAGAGAGCTGGACTGGAAGAGGGGCAACCGGGACAGAATTCAGTGCCCCGACTGGGACTAGAACCTGGTGTGCCGGTGCCGCAAGGCGGAGGATTAGCCTATTGAGCCGCGGCACCGGCCTTTTTTCTTTTTTCTTTTTGCTGTCTTCAATAGTAGCTGCTGTAGGTCTGCCCCATTTTTGGATGAGGCAGTAATGGGAAATGTTGGGTTGGCTCACTGATTTCACATATGATACAAGGTTATCGTAATACAATCAGCTAGTTGAAGATAAAGAACAATGTTAGGATAATCTGTTAGCATTAACAAAAGTAAACAATGAGTATAAATAGAATTATGTCTGCTACAATATTTTGAGAGATTTATTACAAAGAAACAGGTATGTAAATGACCTGTCCTATTTAAGAATCCATTGGTTTCTATGAGTTAAGCTTCATGTAGCTTCAGTCTCAGGCTGACTATTTCAATGCACAAGTATTTATAATTATTTATAACGTATTAACTTTGCTCCTTGCTTCAGCATTGCGCAACTCCTTAGTAAAGCAGTAGCTGCTAAAAAGTAAAGCCCAACAACCACTTTTCTCAAATCACTTCATTAAAACATGAAAACCACAAGTCTTGGCCTCTTGCAAAAAGGCTTTTAAAGTATCTCAGTATTTAACTTGGATAAAAATAGAGGAAAGCAGAAACATAAAGTGCCGATTTGTACTATAACCTGGTCTCACATTTCAGTATGCTCCCAGTTCCAAGTTTATTTGTTTTAAATAAAAAGATTTATTTTATTTGAAGAGCAGAGTGATGGAGACAAAGTTTGCAGGAGAGAGAGATTTGTCACCTGCTGGTTTACTACCCAAATGCCCACAACAGCCAGGGCTGGGCCAGGCTAAAGCCAGGAGTCAAGAACTCTGTCCTGATCTCCCACGTGGGTGGCAGGAACCCAAGCACTTGGGCCATCATCTGCTGCATCCTAGTTGCATTTATAGGATGCTAGATCACACACGGAGTAGCAAAGCAAAACACATATGTGGGATGTAGGCATCCCAAGCAGAGGCTTAACCCTCTGCCCTACAGCGCCAGCCCCCTCCTCCATTACAGTGTTTTTAAATTAATAAGTAAGCAAGTAAAACAAGGCTTCACATGTGAAAAGCAGAGAATGGTCCAGAAGTCTTCTATTCAAAGACAAATTAATTGTTTTTTCCCAATAACTTAACAGAAAGAAATGCATACTTAGAAAACTTCAGGGGTTCTTTAAATAATAGTCAGAAAAATATAAAAATATAAAAAAAACAAGAACAGAACACTTAAAACTGTAAGGGCAATTACCCTCTGTTTAAAGATGGTTGCTGTAGAGATGGGCAGAGAGAGCTCTCTAAGTCACGTGTTTGTATGTAAATTCTCTGGGCAGATGTCTCTATAACTCATCGTGTTCATATGTAAATTCTCTAGCAGATATAAATCCATCTCTGTCTTCATCTTCTTTATCAAAAATATCCTCCACCAACACATCATGATGGCTTTCATTCACCACTGCACCGTGCTTTTCAAACTCCTTCTTTAAATACACTTTAACCTACAAAATAACAGATTCCGTTAATGACTCTGATTCATAAAACAGCCACACTGAGCCAACCAATAACACAAATATGTACTGGTGGTTCATTTTAACCAAATACAATAACTACTAAACAATTACTTAATGATATATTGCTGATGACAGTAAAACAATTATAAGGAATTTAAAAAAAAACATTGCTGTGCTGCTGTGGTAGAGACAAAATATTGCTCAGAGGCATAAATACAGCTTTTATCACACGTATGATCCTCACGTCAAATACAAGGCTTATAATATCTGAAAAATATCCAGTAAAAGCTGTTCTTCATCTGCATCCATATGAAAACTAAAATAAAAAAAAATCTGCATCTAAACAAAGCCAAGCATTTGAAAGACTACTATTTTTAAATCTGTTGAATTAGATAGATCTTTGAAGGCCAGATTAAACAGTGCCATTTTTGACTTGAATAGGTGTGTGGGAGTAGTGGTATTGTGGACCTGGCTACGGTCATGCCACACTGATTGAGCCTAATATGACATCCTGACTTCAAATGTTAAAGCAAACCTGGTGTGAGTGCCTAGACTCTAAGTTTCCATTTTAATTAGATGTTTAAAAATATAAATCAGGGTAGATGTTTTATGTTGAGACACCTGTGTTTGGATAGGAGTGCCTGGGTTCAATGCCCGCCTGTGGTGCCTAACTCCAGCTTCCTGATGTGGGCCCTGGTGGAGCAGCAGTGATGGTTCAGGTGGATGGGTCCCTGCCATTCACGTTGGAGACCTGGACTGAGTTCCTGGCTCTCCGCTTCCCCAGCTACTGGAGGCCCCCCCAGGGGAGAGGGGGGGATGGGAGCTAGCTCTATCTTCTCACTCTCTCTGTCTCCAATAAATTAAATAAATTAAAATTTAAAAAAAAATTTAAATACTGTTCCCAATTTCCTACTACATTTGCCCTAAGACAATTCAACATACATTTTCAATTTTAAAAACTGTCTTGTTTGTATTTCTCCTAACTGCTGGTTCACTCCCCCGTGTGCCCATAGCAGCTGGGGCTAGGCCAGGCCAAAGCCAGAAGGCCTAACTCAATCCGGGTCTCTCACATGGATGGCAAGGACTCAACTAATTGAGCCACCATCTGCTGCTTCCCAGGCTGCATCTCAGCAGAAAGTGGAATGGAGAGCAGAGTCGGGACTCTACCCCAGGTACTCTAACGTGGGATGCAGGTGTCCCAAGAGCAGCTCAGCCTCTGTGCCAAATGTCCATTCGCCTGTATTTTCATTTTCAACCATTTCTCTAACTCCTCCTTCTGTTTAGAGCAGCAGCCATTTCAAATTCTCTCTTCCCCCTTACCTCCAACATGCAAACACACAGCATGTGTTTATTTTTAAGATAAAGTAATTTAATGTAGCTGGTAAAAAAAAAAAAAGAAAAAGAGGACAATGAAACTCTACAGATAAATGTACGCTCTATCTCTAGGATATACTGTATGAATTTGGCAAGATGCCAAACAATACTGCTCTGGTTGACAAATTGCTTTGGGCATTCCCTGAAGGTCCATAAGTTAAAGGTTTAGTCCCCTGGTGGTATTACTGAGAGGTTACAGAACCTTTAGGGGGAGGGGGATGGCCTCAAGGGAGGCCTTGGGTCATTAGGGGCACTCCCCTTGGAGAGCACTTCTCTAGAGAGGGTTGATAGAAGCTGGAGTTGGGGCCCAGTCTCCCTGCTTCCTTTCACCATGTGATCCTCCTCCACTTGCCCTTGCCTTCACCAAAGCCTGCACCAGCCTTGGACTTGGAACCTCCAAAACTGTGAGCTCAATCATAAGCCTTTTTTCACTGAGTTAACTGCTTTAGCTACTTCATTCTACTCACGAAAAAACTAATCGATACAAGTATTTACAGGGTTCAGCACTTTGTGTAGGAAAGGGGGAAATTAACCATACAAGTGTTTCATGTTTGCTTGGGTTTGCACATAGCAACACTGGAAGGATATGTTAAATTAATAAAACTGGATGGGGGAACCACAGGGTGGGAGGGGACATGCTTAGGAGAAAGACCTCTTAATAAACATCTTTTTATATTGAGTTGATTCTTTTTAAAATTTATTGACATTTTATTTTAAAGGCAGAGAAACAGAGACAAGAGAAACAGAGAGAAATCTCCATCCACTTGGTTACCCCTCAAATGACCACAACAACTAGAACTAGATCAGGCTGAAGCCAGGAAACCAGAACTCCATCCTGATCTCCCACACAGGTGGCAGGGAACCAAGTGCCCGAGCCATCATCTGCTGCCTCCCAGGCGCATAAGTAGGAAGCTGGATTGGAAGTGGAGTACTAGGACTCGAACCAGGCATTCTGGTAAGGGATGTGGGCAACACAAGCAGCAGATTAACCACTGCACCCAACACTCAGCCTAGGTTAATTTCTGAACCATATGAATGTGTTGTATATTCCAATTTTATGAAAGGAACTAATATTTATCTTGGATAGGAAAAAAAGGCATATGATCTGTAACACAATAAAGAGGTATACATTTACGAGCCATAGATCACGATCCTGCAGTTATTCAAGACTTAATCATTTCCTTGCCATTAGAATGAAATTGATCAAAGCATACAAAGAGACTTGCTATCTGAGCACAAGCTAGACAGGAGAGAGTGGGTAGATAGAAACCATAGAGTTAACTATCTGTCTACAGCAGCCAGGCTGACACAGGGGTGGGTAGCAATAGCTGTGAAAGCCTAGATGAAAGGAAAAAGCCTCCCCTTCCTTTCTGCTTACCCCATAGTCAGGACTTGGAGGGGACTGGGGAAATTGCTGTCCTGGAAAACCCAAGTTGGTGGGATGGGTGTTTGGCACAGTGGCTAAGAAGCTGCTTGGGATACCTGCATCCATAATGGAGTGCCTGGGTTCGAGTCCCAGCTCCTGCCTAGGAGACAGCAGATGATGGCTCAAGAACTTGGGTTTCTACCACCCATGTGTGAGACCGGGTCAAGTTCCAGTCTCCTGGCTTTGGCCGCCCACTCCTGGTTGTTGCAGACATTTGGGGAGAGAACCAGCAGATTGTAGATCTTGCTAGCTTGCTTGCTCTGTATCTGTCTTTCAAATAAAATTTTTAAAAATAAGTAGAACTTATTCAAAAGAAAGGAAAAGAAAACCCAAATTGGAGTCTCTTTTCTTCAAGTGCTGACCTTAAGGAAATTAAGTGTGTTAGTTGTCTGCTAACTGCTAGGCAATCCTTTCCAAGCACACTTAACAGCCAGTCTACAGTCTTAAACAGAAACCATCCACATGAGCTGTTTCTCAGGGCATCTAGGTTGCTTATACAGTAACTCCAAATGGGAACTGTCTTGGCAAAATGGAGCTTTCAAAGACCCCAGGGTAAGAGCAAGATACAATGAACCCTAAGTACTGAAGAGAAAGAAAAAAAGCAGAGACTCCTTTGTAAGTTTCAACTAAGTCTCTCTCCAAAACAATGATTCCCTATGAGAAAGCCAATTTCCAAAGCATCAATATTTTAAGGAAACTCACAGATCAGTAACATTTTACCTAACTAAATATGCATTTTCTTTAAAAATATATTTCTAAAAAAGTGAGTTACTGAGAGGAGGAAGGGGTGAAGGGGAGGGGAGGGGGAGGAGGAGGAGGAAAAGGTGAAAAAGAAACAGAAGGAAAAGGAGCAGGAAGAAGGGGAAAAAAGTCCACCTCATTTTTAGAGAGCTTCCAGTCATCGTTAAGATCCATTTCTTGGAAGGATTCATGAGATCTTGGTCCATTTCGAATCTCTAGGAGATCGATGTTGAATATCAGCGTACTCTCTGGAGGAATTTTACCTGATACAAGAGGAGAGAGGAAAAGTTTTATTTAAAAGACCGAAAAGTTTTAAAACAGAAAACTATGGTCCTGGACAAAATATGCTTTTAAGTACATTAAATGAAACCCTTCTTAAGACTGCACACACAATGGACATTACTTATAGTATAATTATAATTTACTTCTGAAAATAGAGTAAAAAAAGGAATAATGCAAACCACTTTAGCAAAAGCTTTTTGCTTTTTGGCTTAGCAGTTTAAAAGCAAAACATATATGCACACATGCAGATGTACCTAAAGTCCTAAGTATTACATTTCAATCATAACTGAGATAAGACATATGATATGTCAAGCATGACTAAAGGGGCTGATGTCGTGTAACAGGTAAAGCCACCATCTGTGATGCCAGTATCACTTATGGGCAGGAGTTTGAATCCCAGATGCTCCACTTTTGATCCAGTTCCCTGCTAATGGTCTGGAAGGGGTAGCAGAGGATGGCCCAAGTGTTTGGGCTCCTCCCACACATGTGGGCGACCCAGAGAAAGCTTCTGGCTCCTGGCTTCAGCCTGGTCCAGTCCTGGCCACTATGACCATCTGGGGAATAAACCAGCAGATAGAAGACCTCTCTCTCTCTCTTTCTCTCCCCATTCTCCTTTGCCAACTCTGACTTTCAACTAAATAAAATAAAAATTTTTTTTTTAAAAAAGAATGACTTAAATGACTTAGATAATTCAGTTAATTATATTAAACACGATGTATTAACTATAGGGTCAGAGTCCTGACCTAGGAGTCATACCTAGGTCTAGCTCTCTACCACTGGAGGCTGTAGATAATGGAGTGAGTCTGGTGTCCCACTGTCCCACTTTGATGTTTATGTCTCCTCATTTCCAAGCCTGAGTTTCCTCACATGTACAATGTACACAATAGTATTTCCTACCTCAAGAGTCTCTTAGATGAAGTAGAAAATCCACACGAAATAAAATACTTAGCATTATTTTTGGCTAAATAGTTAAGTTCTCAATACATGTCACTGAGATATTTTTCTTACAGGTTTTAAAGATAATGCAGAAAGTTTCAAAATTTTCAAAGAATGGGATGGATTTCTGGCACAGCAGTTAGGACACTGCTTGGGCTGCCTGCATCCCATATCAGAAAGCCTGGGTTAAAGTTTAGCATATGCTTGCAATCCAGCTTCCTGCTAACGCGCACTGTGCACTGTGGGAGGCAGTAGATGATGGCTCAAGTACTTAGGGCCCTGCCACTCACCAGGGAGACCTGGATAGAGTTCCAGGCTCCTGGCTTTGGCCTGGCCCAGCCCCAGTTGTTACAAGCATGTGGGGAGATCTCTATCTCTCCTTTTGTCTTGAAAAGTAAATGAAAATATTTTAAAAAGTTATGAAATGCTCCTTCTGATATAGAACATTATATTGAAGACATTTCATAAGAAAGGAGAAATTAAAATGAATTTCAAAAAGGGAGATTTTAAAAATCCATGAAAGTGAAAAGGACTTTGTTAAAATCCCAAGGACCTAGAAATTATCCTTCTGGGAGTCTGGAACTCTTTTCTTTCAAGTTCGTTTCCTTATAACTCTGTTTGACACTCAGGTCTGGGTCAACATGCTCAGTATTTCTTAGTCATCCCCCCATCCCATGCATTTCCAAGAAAGAGCATCTGCAAGTTCCAATGAGAACAACACTTACATGTATGCGGGATCTTACGCTTCTAGATCTAGACAGCACTAGGGCGTGGAGTCAGCTGGAGCCCTTCCAAAGGAAGCATGCGAGCATGCACTAAAAGACTACAAAATAAGTGGTAAGTACATGTGAGGAGGATCAGTTTCATGGCACTCAAGTTTAGATCTCTATGGGTTATGAAGCAAAATGGAGTTAATAAAGGGTGAACGAAAATAATGGACTACTACATATAGAAATGTTATAGGTGAGGTAAGAAAGACCCAAGAAAGTTAGAGATTACATTTAAGCACTTTTTAGATACTTGATTTTCCTTTCTAAAGAGGGTGATGATTAAAATAAGAATTGAAGTTGGATGGTTAATCCTATCCTATGAATGAGGTTGACATCGGGAGTCCCAGGTTAGAGGATAGAATGCTTCACACAGGCACGTTTTCTTCCTGCTAAGCAAACAGGGGCTGGGAAAGCTGAACCCCAATTTGTCAATGGTTTAGCCGAGAACTAAGGATGCTGGGAGGTGTATGTTTACGATACATCAGAGCACTACTCCGTCTGATTCTGATGAGCACTTCAAAATCTGTTTTCTGTGCTACATAAGTAACACATGCTCATTGTAGAGAATTTGGAAGATAGAACAAGATACAAATAAAATTCACAATTTCATGGTTCACTGTCAACATTCGTATTTGTTTCCTTGTGATTCATTTTCTATGTGCACATACTTTTTTGTCCCTGTAATTACTATCATACTTACCTGTTTTACCTTCTACTTTATATACTATATCACATACATTTTAGATATAATTTTTTAAAATCTTTGAAAGTACCATATTGAATAACTGGGCTATATTTTATATAATTAACCTTATCATTATATACATGGGTTGGTTCCAATTTTTTGCTATTAAAATCAAAATGGACATCCTTCTTCACAAATCTTTTCCCAGATGCCCGCATATTCCCCTAGGCTAGACTCCAATAAAGGGATTACAGGGTAATTACATATAAACATCTTCAGTCCTCTTGACATAAGTCACCAAATAGCCTCGGCGAAACCGCACAGGTTCCCACTTGAGCCAGGGGCCTGTGTCTTCCCCTGGAACTGACCAATGGCCAGTGTGCTTCCACTTTGTAAAAGAGAGAATAAAACTCATTTCATGACATGCCATTTTTTCTTAAATAAATTGCTAAAAACCTTATAAACACATTTTAAAACACTCACAGAAAGAACCCTAGTAAGAGCTTTCCTGTGGGAGACTCCATCATTACGAACCTTATACAGCCCACATCTATAACCTCATTCAAAATCTATACTCCAAACGTTCGGCTCATCAAAACACCTGTGTTGAATGAGATGTCTTTCCGCACTGTTAACACAAATTGGTGTTTCCGTTTGGGAAGAGGAAGAAGTTGTAGAGGCAAATGGCAGTGATTGGCACACAGCAGCACGAATGGACCCAACACCACCGAACCGTACTGAGGTCTTCAAAAAGTTCATGGAAAACACGTGTCATGAAAAACCCACACATGGATTCCAGAGGTGTTTGGTACCAAAATAAGTTTCTTTTCATTCCATTTTCCATAAGCTTTCTGAGGTTCCCCCATCTGCCAAAGAATGGTTCAGATAGTAAATACTGCATCACATACATTTTACCATACTTTTTAAAACAACCCTATGGGTGAACATAATTAATAGACTTCAAGGTTCCAGAACCTTATTCCATTTTTGGTCAAGTTGCCCATTTAGATATTATGGGCTTAACTGGACATTTCCATTGACAATCAAGACAGAAGCATACATTTGCTAAAGGAATGCAACCTCTACCTTATTCTGGAAGTATATCCAGATACACAGGAGGTACTGCAGCTTCTCCAGTGCTACCGTGAGAAATGCTGACGTGTTCCTACCTTTCCCTTCTTTTCCATAGCCCAGGGCAGGAGGGATGATGAGCTTTCTCTTCTCTCCGACACACATCCCCTTTAGGCCCAGGTCCCAGCCCTTGAGAGCCTCCAGGATGCCCAGAGTAAACCAAATGGGCTGCCCATTGTTATGCTTGTGACTATAACAGAAAGAACACAAGTTAGAACTCTTTGGTGACTTTTTTTTCTTTAATTGTTGTAGGGCATTTTTTCATCTCATTAAGTGGATGAGCTTACAGACTTGGACATTAATGAAAATAGCTCTTCTTTAACACACAACCAATTCAACTTTATAGTAATTTAACTCACTGCCATTATTTTTTTTTTTTTCAAAAATATTATTCATTTGAAAGGCAGAGTTACAGAGAGAGAGAGTTCTGCATTAGTTGGTTTACTCCCCAAATGGCTGCAACAGCTGCAGCTGGGCCACACTGAAGCCAGGGGCTTCATCTGGATCTCCCACAGGGGTGCAGGGGCCCAAGCAGTTGGGCCATTTCCCACTGCTTTCCCAGGTGCATCAGCAGGGAGATGGATGTGAAGTACAGCAGCTGAGACTTCAACTAGCAGCATTGCAGGCAGTGGCTCAACCTGCTACACCACAAAGCCAGCCCTTGCCCATCATTTTTGATACAAATTCTACATAGTTGACTCACCTTGAGAAAGGCAAAGAGAATAATTACAAAGACAATTAACAATTATTTGAGCATTTATTGTACTACCCTAAATTTTTTGCCTCTTTTAACTCTAACGTTGGTCCTATGCTATAAGGACCATCATTACCAACCCATTGCACAGATGAGGAAACAGAGGTTAAATGTACCAGTATTTGGCCTCAAAATTATTCCCTAACTCCAAAGTTCAAGGCCTTAACCACAAAGTTATGCTGTCCCAGGAGGCCATGAAGTTGCACAGCAAAGGGAAAACAATGGGCAACGGCTGATTTTGGGAGGGAGGATGAAGGCCAAGGATGGCTGCCAACCCATGAATCTGCATGCTGGTGGACATGAAGTCAGGAGCACAGTATCTAACATACTGCTCAAAGCGTTTCAGGACATCTGATGATGGTTCTGGTGGGCATAAAAGCCTGCTTTCCACTCCTGAATCTCCACTCAGGTCGGGCCCCGTTTTCTCCCCAGGGGTCTACATAAGGATCCTGGAGAAATGGTCCCTTATGGACTGGGGAGAAGGAATAGTTAAAGTGCCCTGGTATGGAGCAGACATTTGGTATCCCATATCAGAGCACCTGGGTTCAAGCCCCCACTCCACTTCCAATACAGTGTCCTGCCAACACACATCCCGGGAGGCAGCAGAAGATGGTTCAGGTAGCTGGGTCCCTGACACTCACATGGGAGACCTGGATTGAGTTCCCAGCTCCCGGCTTTGGCCTGGCTCAACCCTGGGTGTTGCAGACATTTAAAGAGCAAAGCAAAGGATAGGAGCTCCGTCTGTCTCTACCTCTCAAATAAAAAAATAAAAAATAAAAATGTCCTGATACATGAGCTAGAGAGGCCAACCTAAGAAACCCAACCTACTGATACTGGGGCACTTGAGGGCTGGGTCATGCCTGGCTCCAGTCAGCTCCCTTCACTGCAATCGGGGCAGTGTCCCACCAAGGTGACAACACAAAGTCCCTCCATCAGGCTTTGTGAGTACCAGGGTGAGACAATCTAGGCAAATGTCAGCTCTTCCTCTCTTCTTTCATTTCCTGCATGATCAAAGTAGCAAAAGGTTAACTGTAGCACCTTGGAGAAGGCTAGAAAATAATAAAAAAGGATATAGTAAAAAATAATGAACCACCCAGCACTGGCCACAGTTCTGGCCCGTTTCTTGTTATGACTAAGCTATTGACCACATAGACCACGGTTCCAGAAATGAACCTTTGAGGCTACTTCCCCATAATACTCAGAGATGGCAGCTCCCGACCATCACTGTGGAGGCTGAATGACAACAGGCCCCTCCTCAGGGACTAGAAAGTCAGTGGCAAACCGGTCAACAAGATCTGGCGGCTACCACCCAATCTGGCACAGATTTCCAGTTCTGAGTCCTGAAAGAAATCAAGGCTGGGTCTGTGAGAGATCAGACTAAAACTAAGAATGTAATTAAAAGATTTAAATGCCAACCATGGTATTGTTCAGTGTCCACCTTTGGTACCAGCCTTGTTGACAAGAGAGAAGGGCTGTTGAGAATTCTGTGGCAAGTTCTTTTTGGAACTTTTTTTTTAAAAAAGATTCATTTATTTATTTGAAAGAGTTACAGAGAGGCAGAGGCCGGGGTAGGGGGAGGGAGAGGGAGAGGGAGAGAGAGAAAGAGAGAGAGAGAGATGTCTTCCATCTGCTGGTTCACTCTCCACATGGCTGCAACAGCCAGAGCTGTGTCAATCTGAAGCCAGGATCCAGGAGCTTCTTCCAGGTCTCCCATGTGGGTGCAGGGGCCCAAGGACTTGGACCATCTTCGACTGCTACCCCAGGCCATAGCAGAGAGCTGGATCAGAAGTGGAGTAGCCGGGACTAGAACCGGTGCCCACATGGGATGCCAGCACTGCAGGTGGCGGCTTTACCCGCTATGCCACAGTGCAGGCTCCCTCTTTGGAACTTTTCACCAAGACTAATGGTTTAAAGAAGAGTGCTATTCACTCTCCCCAGATCCCACAACAGGCAGGCCCTGCACGCCCAGGAAAGGCAGTTTATCTGAAAACAAGGTCTAGAGGGGGCCATGAAGCTGCACTGTCTCAGTCCACACCGTCCCTGGTACCTGCAATACCCTCTCCCCCACCCTCTCTTCTTCCCTTGGGAATCTGTACTCGTATCGCAGGGCCCAGCTCATACACAGCCTCTGGGAAGTCTCCTCTTTCCCAGCTCCCAGAGCAGTACTAATGGCAGCCTCTGTTATGCCTTGCTAGCACTTGGCATTCTCTGTGCTCTGTCTCACTGTGCTATTGACTTTCCTCGCTCCTCCCGGTACTGCTCCTGTTCAGTGAGAGTTTGGTAGATGGACAGAACAATGAATGAATGAAGATGATCACAAGCCAAGCTTTGAGAATCTTCCTGACACCCAGCACAGGGCCCAACATAAAGGACAAGCTCACAAAAAACTTTTGAAATAGGATGAGTGGAACCGCAGGCTGAGTGGAAGTCATTATGCTTGCAATCCTCCTCCACGCTCCGATTTCTGTGTTTGGAGCACAGCAGTGGTGGTGGGAGCACCTGGAAGTCCTTCATGAACACTTCCATGACCACACCCACCGCCACTGACTTTCTAGAAAGAGTACTGAAATCATGGTCCTGGCCTGGCCCAAAAATCTCAGCCATCAGAACAAAGTAGGTCAACACAGCACCCTGAGTGTAGAGAAATAACTGAAGGTGCATTGTGCTGTGCAAGTTTTTAGTAAATATCACCTACACCAGTTTAAAAATGGAACCGAGTCCTTCTCACTAGGGAGTGGAGTTTGAGATATGAGAATTCTTTAAAGCTTGTTGTACTTATTGCCTAATTAATATACCTAGTTATTTCTGCAACATTTCAAAGACTCCAGGTCTGAACTGCATAATTAAAAAAAATGAGCAGCGCTCTGCAGACCACAAGTCGCTTTCCCCGGAGAAGGCAGTCAGCTAGCTCAGTTTTGTAAGAGCGAGCTAAAGTCAGGCAACATGCTAACTTCCCGGCTGCAAAGCTGGCACAGGTGGGTGCGTTCCGTGTCGTTTTACTACTCACGTGGAGTGAAACAAGGAGCCGTCCTTCTCCAAGTAGCCTTCGTAGTGCAGCAACATCAAGTCCCCTCCTTTGGTCTTGCGATGGCAGATGAACGGCTTCTGCAGGACTTCGATTTTCACTTCTGGCTCGGGGATCAGAGCCCCGCTCAGGGCCGTGGCTAACAACGTCAAGACCGCGTTCCACAAGACAAACCTCATGTCGCTGGCGCAGAGGTGCCCGGCGGAGTCGAGACCGCGGCCGGAGCTCACAGGGTGCTGAGAAGGGCGTCCAAGGCTCGGGCACAAGGGCCTCTCCCGCTGCTTGGAAGACGTGGCACTTTCACTGCCGACAACTTTCCCACGCACTGCGCGCTCGCCTCCAAGGGGTTAAATCCAAACCCGGGCCCGACTGGCTCTTAGACGCTGCCTCCCGAGGAGGCCGGCCTCCCATTGGCTACAGGGCTGTCCATCAAATGCCTCTCCAGCCAGTGACACGGCCACGGGATTAAGCTGAGCGGCCAGCGGGAGGCGAGCCATCCCGGGTGGTCCTAGAGCCGGATGGATTAGAGCAGGCGGCCGGCCAGGATTTGGGGGAGCAAGGTGGGGCGCGGAGCCGCCAGGAAACTCCCGGGGCGGACCTCCCTTTTGTAAAGAACCTTGGCTGAGGGAGGCAGGGAGAGTAGGGGCCCCGTGAAAGTGTGCAGGCTTCCGGAAAGCCTCGTTTACACTCGCCGCTGGAGAGCTGCCGCCGGGTTAACCTGCGGTGTAGATTTAGGTAAGGGTGAGGGGCTCGCAAAGCGGTAAGGCGTGATCTTGTTCTCCATTTAAAAGACACTCCGCTTCCTATTGGGGTCTTTTGGCCCCAGAGCGTGTGAGTTCCCCCTTCACACCAGCTCTGGTTCCTTCCACAACACCTTACTCAATGCAAACAACAGATGCGCCCGTGCAGACCCCCGCTTCAGAGCTGGTAGCCACAGGCACATGGCCACATCTCCGTTTAAATCTCGTTTTTAAAGTCAGTCCTTGGCCATTGTAATAAGTATGGAGCAAAGTGGAAAGCACTGAAGACTTCCAGATAAAATGCAGGAGCGGAATTGAATTTGAATTTTAGATAAATAGTAAATGCTTCGTGTTTTTATCTACTAAGTCTGGTATCTTTACAATGAAGTGGAGAAAGGGGTTGTCTATAATGCCACCATCCACACAGAATCCTCTTAATGTCCGCATGTCAAAAGCAATTGGGTCCCACTGTGCACTGTCCATGAGAATAAGTGAGAGCTGTGGAAAGGCTAACGTGAGGTTAAGTCAGGACAGAAGATGAGTGACCTCTTGGGCCAGGGGGACACAAGCCCCGCAAGTTCCAAAAAGTGTTCTGAAGTGGTCAGATTCCAGCGGGGAGCCGGTGCCGCGGCTCACTAGGCTAATCCTCCGCCTTGAGGCGCCAGCACACCGGGTTCTAGTCCCGGTCGGGGAGCCGGATTCTGTCCCAGTTGCCCCTCTTCCAGGCCAGCTCTCTGCTGTGGCCAGGGAGTGCAGTGGAGGATGGCCCAGGTGCTTGGGCCCTGCACCCCATGGGAGACCAGGAAAAGCACCTGGCTCCTGCCATCGGATCAGCGCGGTGCGCCGGCCGCGCTGGCCGCGGCGGCCATTGGAGGGTGAACCAATGGCAAAAGGAAGACCTTTCTCTCTGCCTCTCTCTCTCACTGTCCACTCTGCCTGTCAAAAAAAAAAAAAAAAAGATTCCAGCGGGGAAAACGTGTATGCACAGTGAGCATACACATAGCTTAGGCCCAGAGAGGCCACAGTCGGGAGGGAGCAGCCCACATTTTGTTACTAATTGAAGGTTAGAATATGACAGGCTAAAAGCATTTTCAGAGTCAGGGAGGGTACTGTCTCAAAAAAAAAAAAAAAGGCTACTGATGAATGGTAAGGGGGCTTTGCTGGAAATGTAATGTATGGGCAAAGAATAAAGGATTGCTCTAGGTTGTTCCGGATGGTGAAGACCAAGGCACATTCACCTGGTGGGTAAGGCTGCTAGCTCTGCCTTAAATTTTACGTTCATGTTTGCTTCCATTTGAAAGGCAGAGACAGAGAAAGAAATTTCTTCTATGCACTGGTTTATTCCCCAAATGCCTGCAACAGCCAGGGCTGGGCCAGGCAGAAGCAGGGAGCCAGAGGCTGGATTCAACTCCATCTCCCACCTGGGTGGCAGGGACCCACGTGCGTGAGCCATCAGCAGTGCATGTTAGCAGAAAGCTGGACTGGGAGTGGAGGCAAGACTTGAACCACGCACCCTGATATGGGATGCAGGTGTCACAGGCCGCACTGTCCCACGGCCAAGCAGGGTACGACTCAGAGATGTACAAGTGTTTCTCTGGAATGGCCTTGCAGGCTTTTCAGGGGTAATGCATTCTCAACAGTTCTCCACCTTCTCTCTCCACTTAATCGACAATTAACATATTTCCTGGCCAAACAGCCTTAGTACAGAGGCCAGTGCTGTGGTGTAGCAGGTGAAGCCACTGCCTGCCTGGTCCTCATCCCAGTCAGAGCGCCAGTTGGAGTCCCTGCTGCTCCACTTCCTCCTGCTCCCTGACAATGCACCTGGATGGCCCAAGTGCTTGGGCCCCTGCCACCCACCTGGGAGACCCGGATGAAGTTCTAGGCTCCTGGCTTTCTCGTAGCTATGCAGGGAGTGAACCAGTGGATGGAAGATATCTCCTCCCTTTCTCTCTCTCTCTCTGCCTTTCCAGTAATTACCACAAAAAGTCAAATCCTTAGCACGGTGCATTCCCACATTTTAAGCTGCGTTGAAATCCCCTGAGTATCTTGTTAAAATGCAAATATTGATTCTGGAGGTCTGTGTTCAGGGCGAAATTCTGCGTTTCTAACAAGCTCCCAGGAGATGTCAATTCTGCCTGTCCAGGGGATGGCCGGTCAGTAGCGAGCTTTGGAGCTGGCCAACACCTATCTACACGGGCCTCGCGGTATTCCATCCCGCTTAGGGGGCGCCCCGGACTGTGGGATCCATCAGCCTGGAAATTAAGCATGGGATCCTTGAGGCCAACACCAAGGCGCCACCCCAAAGCAGTACCTGGGTCCCCAACCTCGGGAGGTAGGACCTCCCCACCCATGGCATCATTTACAGCAGAGATGAGTCCCGCGGCCTCCCATCCTTTCTCACCCATCGCCTCCTCCCGAGCCCGCATTCCGAGATTAAACCTCCCGGCTGGCAGCTCAGGCTACGTCAGCCCGGACGCCGCCGGGAAAGCCTGGGGTGGATTTTGGGAAGGCGTGCGCGAGCGGCGCACTGGGCATGCGCGAGCGCGCTCCCGGCCCGGCGGCTCTAGGGCTCAGGTAGCGCGCCGTGGCGCCGCCCGCGACCGGTCGCTTCACTCGCCTCGCTCAGCAGGCTTCGGCCGCCGCTCGGGCCCAGCCCTGCGCCTGGCCTGTCAGCGGAGCGACGGAGGACCCCCCCCGCGGCCCCACGACTGCCTGCCTCTTTACGTTCCCGGCCCTTGCGGTGGAACCCCCCCGGGCCGAAAATTTGAGCCAGCCGGTTGTCCCCGCAACCGGCACCGGCGCCGGCAGTGGGCGTGTGGGCCGCGCCAGGCGATGGCCCTGCTGCCGCCGCTGGTCGCCTCCCGGGCCCTGGGGCAGTGAGGGCGCCGGCGGGCGTGGGCGCGAGGCCCCGGCGCGGCGCGGGCGCCATGGAGGGGGTGCTGTACAAGTGGACCAACTATCTGAGCGGTGAGTGGCCCTTTGTCCCGGCCGGCCCTCGCCGGGGTGGTCGGGGTCGCGGTCCCTCCTGCGTCCGCGGGCGGTGGCCCGGAGCAGGGGCAGATCCCAGAGTGGTTTTCTCCCAGGGACCGTGTCCCTCGCCTGCCATTCGGCGCTGGGTGAGAGCAGTCGCTGCCCTTTCTCTTGGCGGGCGGTTACGAGAGACTGAGATTTGGGGTGACTTGAAAGACACGATGCCCTCGGTGTCTGCTCTGGGGTCCCCTGGGAACTCGGAGACCGGCCCGGCCGGGCCCGGCCCGCAGCTGGGTTGGACGCCCGCGAATGAATGCCGGTGGCAACCTGGAATCCCGGAGGGGAAGAGGTCCCTGTCGGCGTGCGCGGCGCCAGCACTCCCTCTGTCACCTGCAGAGACATCTGCGGGCCGACCTGGCTGTCAGAGTTGCAGCCCAGCAGTTCCGCAAGCTCCCACACAGGCACGAGGTTTTCCTTTGTGTTTCTGTAGACTTAGAAATGACCGTAAAGTGAGTGCAAACATTGAGAGCTCATTCCTTGACCTGCCGTGGAGAATGGCTTAAAAAATGGTACCCCGCTGCCCTTCCACTTCAGGGAGCACCTTCTTCCCATCTTGAGATCATTCAGAACCAACAGTATTTTCTTTGGGGCAATCAGTATCTAATCAAAGCTTGCAACATGCAAGAAAACGCTGGGAAGTTTTTTGGAATTAAATTTTTTTTTTTTTTTGGTCATGGGAAATAGAAGCATTTAAATGAGTAATGACAGTGGGTTGTCCCATCCTTTCTTTCATGGGACAGTCTTTCCCAGGTTGTGGGGTGGGGATGCTTTGAGTGTTTGAAAGATGGTTTTATCTGGAAGGGTCAGTTTGTGTAGTGACTTTGAGGATGTCACACAGCCTGGCCCCCAGCGCACCTGTTGGGCTCCCGAGTCTCTCCCCCCTCAGCAGGGTGTGGTTGGCTCTGAGTTCTGAGTGCTGGGAGGGGGGTTACTTTGGAAGGCCTGGCCTTTGTTTCGGTGAAATCAGCAATTAGCTTGGACTGATAACTGGAAGCTGGGCCTCCTGTGGTCAGTGCCTGAGGCTGTTCGCACTGCCCAGCTAAAGCAGGAGGCTTGGCCAGGAGGTCTCTGAGCCCTGAGGTGTGGGTCTTACATTCCTAATGAAAAGTTAGTTGCTGGTTCACCTCTTTCCATTGCACACGTCTTCTTTTTCTTTCTAGTGTGTGTGTGTTTCTTCAGTGTTCAACACCCCCACCCCACCTCCACCCCCATGTCTCTCTTCTTTTTATCACCCACTTCTCTTTTCCTTCTCCTTTCCATACGGAGCGTTTTGTGCCTGTTTCCTGGTAATTTAGTGAAATATCTTTTTCTCCTCTGACTCTGTTTGTGTATCCTTCCATAGAGCAAATTAGAAGGAGCTTTGGGAATCTGTCATGTGATGCCTGTTCCACCTGTTCTAGTAGAAAGGATTCCCTTTATTTCCTCACCAAGTGAGAGAAGTTAGTGCTATGAGTGGTGCCAGGGTGAAGCCCTGAAGAAGAGGGGTGCTGGAGCCATCAACAGAGGCAGCTGTCCATCACCCCTCAGGGTGCTTTTCTGGGTGCACTGAGAATTATGGTCCAGCGCGTCCTCTTTCATGGGGGGATGTCCGCCTTTGGAAGGAGCAGCGATAACCTAGGAGGATCCCATGCATTCTTCTTTCCTCCTGTCTCCTGTTTGAGTCAGCCTCCTAAAAAGAGCAGTTGTGAGGTTAATGACAAGCTTTGGTGGAGACATCACTACTTTTCCTTTTTCTGAAGCTTGTTTTAAGAAGTAACTTTGTGTGTGTGGTTTTCCACATAATAATTTTAACATACACATCCCAATCCAAGTTTTTGTGCATTCTGAATTTTTCTCCAAAAGGCATGTAGAACCCATGCCTCTGTGTAGTTTGCGGATTTCTGACAGCTTGACGTGGAATGCCTTGTGCCAAATTTGAGTGAAGAAGTTAGGAAGTGAATTTATTAGTTGACCCTTTAACTCCTTCCAGGGTGTTGCTAGTTTTGTTCACCACCTAGTATGTCCTGGGCACTGGGCCAGGCGCAGGAAAGCGACTTTCAACGGGACGGACAGCACCTGCCTTCCCCGAGCCTACAGTGCGCCGTGGAAGGAAGTTATTTATTGATCAGTGGCTGGAAGCATGTTCCAAATGTGTGTGACTGGGGGGGCAGGGAGGCTGGTCTGGATGTCAGGCAAGGCTGTTTTGAGGAAGCATTTAGCAGAGCCTGAAGGCTAAATAGATGAGGCAGGTGGGGAGGCAGATGGGCAGTTGGAAGCTATAAGGAAGAACTTCTCAGGCACAGTGCCAATGTGGAGGCCCAAGGCAGAGCAGAGACCCGTGAGTTTGAGGAAAGGAGAACGGACCTGTCTGACTAGAGAGCTGAGAAGGGGAGGCTGCAGCAAAGACGCAGGCGCGGCTGGGAGGCCTGGTGGGCAGGGCTGATGGGCTAGTTTACAGCTGTGCTACTGTGTGTGTGTGTGTGTGTGTGAGAGAGAGAGAGGGAGTGTGTGTGTGTGGAAGAGTGTGTGGAAGCGAAAGAGGAGAGAAATGATGAGATTTAAAAAAAAAATTTTTTTTTTTTTGAACAGGCAGAGTGGACAGTGAGAGAGAGAGAGAGAGAGAGACAGAGAGAAAGGTCTTCCTTTGCCGTTGATTCACTCCCCCCAGTGGCCGCCATGGCCGGCGCACCGCGCTGATCTGATGGCAGGAGCCAGGTGCTTCTCCTGGTCTCCCATGGGGTGCAGGGCCCAAGCACTTGGGCCATCCTCCACTGCCTTCCCGGGCCACAGCAGAGAGCTGGCCTGGAAGAGGGGCAACCAGGACCGAATCCGGCGCCCCAACCGGGACTAGAACCTGATGTGCCGGCCCTGTTAGGTGGAGGATTAGCCTAGTGAGCCGCGGCGCCGGCGAAATGATGAGATTTAAACAAGCCTACTCTGGTTGCAGTGTAGACAAGTTTTCTTCTTACATGTTTGTATCTCTCTTGCTGCATTCATTGTATTTTGCCAAATATTCTGGTTATTCTGTGAGCTTCTCTTGCCTCTTGAATTAAATATGTGGCAATCAGTTACTGAAAGTTGGAAATGTCACGAAGCCCTGAGAATAGTATCTAAATTGCTTGCCAGAGCCTACCTGTAGAATGCAAAAGGTGAAAGGAAGGAACGTTTCTTTTCCCTCCAGTGCTAGGCAGAAAATATCATGTAAAACATGAAAGAAAAAGAACAAAACTTCTGTGTGTTTTCCCTGAACAACCCTGAACCTCCTTTTAGGGGCAGGATTGGCCATTCTGGGATTTACTGTCAAAACATCTCTTTAGGTATTGGAAGGTTACATTTAGGATACAAGGGGCACAGATTAAACATTTTACAAACACCCATGTTGTGTGACACATACTAGACACTGTGTGTTTGTCATGTGTATCTTTTATTACCTGAGATTTAGTCAAGGAACATTACAGTGCAGGTCACATGTACATGCCTAGAACACTGGTTCAGGAGTCAGAGACCTGAAGTCTGATAACCATTCCGAGATCACCTCCATAGAAATAGTAGGATTTGCCGGTTGATAATTTTAAGAACACTTTAAAAGTAAGACTTACTAGTGCTTATATATTGTGCCAGGCACCATTCTACACATTTTACATGGATTAACTCATTTAATCTTTTTTCTTAATTTCTAAAGATTTATTTATTGATTTGAAAGGCAGAGAGAGAGAGAGAGAGAGAGAGAGATCTTCCATCCCCTGGTTCACTCCCCAAATGGCCACAACAGCCAGGGTTGGGCCATGCCGAAGCAAGGAGGATCAACCAGGTTTCCCACATGGGTGGCAGGGTCCCAAGCACTTGGTCCATCTTCTGCTGCTTTCCCAGGCACATTAATAGAGAGCTGGATTAGAAATGGAGTCGGGGCTGGCACTGTGGTGTAGAAGATTAAGATTCTATCTGTAGTGCTAACATCCCATATGGACTCTGGTTCAAGTCCTGGCTGTTCCAATTCTGACCCAACTCCCTGCTGATTTGCCTGGGAAAAGAAGCTAAACTGACCCAAGTGCTTGAGCCCCTGCACTCATGTGGGAGACCTGGAAGAAGCTCCTGGCTCCTGGCTTTGGCCTGGCCCAGCCGTGGCCATTGCAGCCATTTGGGGAGTGAACCAGTAGGTAGAAGATCTCTCTCTTTCAAGTAAATAAATAAATCTTAACAAAAGAAAAAGAAAAAGAAAAAGAAAAAAAGAATCCATTTAAAAAACAAGTGGAGCAGCTGGGACTTGAATCAGTGCTCCTATGGGATGCTGGTATTGCAGGCAACTGCTTAACCCATTGTACCACAACGCTGGCCCCTCATGGAATCTTTGCTGCAGTTTTCAGAACCATTTGCCTTTATTATCTCCATTTTCCACATGAAAACATTGAGAAACAGAAAAAGTGGAGTGGGACCGAGGTCACACAGATAATAAGTGGCTCCAGAGCTAGTGCTCCTTACATAATAGTTTGAAAGAGCCTCCCTGCTTGATCATTATATTATTCTAGCTGATTCATATCAGACCTGTATTTAAAGTATGTCTGACCCAGAATTGCAGACTCTGGGAGTGGGAAGGGAGAGGAGTTCAGGAGTAAGGAAGCCTTTGCATGCCCAGGATTGTGCCTGTTTTTGCCACAAGGGAATTTTTGGAGCTGTGCTTTCCATTTGGCAGTTTTGGGTCCATTTCTGCCCAGTCAGCAGACAGGAGGGCTGCTGCTATGAACTCCAAGCCAGATACTGGGTTCTGGGATCTCCAAGTCAGGACACAAGCACATTGCAGCACTGCATTCCAAAAATAACACAAGGTCGCTCATGCTGACCAGATGGTTGTCACTGAGAAGACGTGATACCTTTGCTTCTTCTCAGATGGAGGAAGGTGACTCTTGCCCTTGTGTGTTTGTGCTGTATGACCAGTGCTAGAAAGACATCTGGAATGTGAG